ATAGGTGCTGGTTATCGTCTAATCATTGTTAAAGAAAAAGGCTGTAAGGTAGATGCTATCACGACTGTCCTTCAAAGTCACATACCCGATGCAGAACTTGACCAGAATGTTGGGGCTGAGCTCTCTTATGTTCTTCCCAATGCAGATGTAGCCAAATTTGAAGCTTTGTTCTTGCAGCTGGAAAACAGTCGAAAACAGTTACAAATATCCAGTTATGGAGCCTCCCAGACCACAATGGATGAAGTATTTTTAAGGTTAGTGAAAAAGAGGTGATACTTAATAAAAGTAAATTGTATTTGTAATCTTAGATTTTGAAAACACTTTGAGAGTAAGATATCACTATTGTAAGATTGTAAATTTATATCATTGACAGAGTTGGGGAGTCTGTCAATGTGGAAGATGTAAATGACATACCAAAACCAGCATTTATAAAAGCTAAGAAACACAAAGCAAGTTCTTTGATGCTTGACCAAGAAAATGGACTTCTGCTTCAGCATAGTGACAATTCTGTGGAGCAAATTGATTTAGACCCTGAGCAGAGTTATGAAGGTAAATGAATTGTACTATTTCTTGTTCATTAGAGTTGATCACAATATATCTGTTGTCACCATGTCATAATGTAAGTACAACTAATGATTTATATCTTTATTTTTTTTGTACAATTGATGTTTAGAACTTCACAATAGTCACTTAGACTTGCATAAATGTATTATGATTTATTAAGTAAGCATGGTTTTGTAGCATGAATCAGTGTCAGATTAATTTCATCTATTAGTTTGTACAGGATATTGAGACATTTATAAAGCAAACATTATAAAGTATTTTTTTTTCATAAGAGAGTTTTTGATAACTTTTCCTCTCTTTGTCTTGACATGCATTTTGCTGTTCCATATTGTTATATATAGAACAAATATTTTCACAGTTTTACCAATTTGATTAAGATATATCTATGTTTGCAAATGTTTTGGCCACACCATTTTCATTAGAATATTATTATCAGTGCCCAGCTTCATATATCACTGTTTTGATATGTATCTCACTTATCCTGTTGTGCTTCCTCCCTGTTCCAATACAGATTTAGTGTTGGCAACTTTTTATTTTGATTTTGGATCTTGCTGTTTTTAGAGGACTTTGTGTTGGTTTTATATTTTTTATAGAATTTATTTTAGGATTTAGAATTATATATTTTGTCTAGAAGTATTTTATTGTTATTGGTATGATGATCATGATCAGGATTATTATTGCTATTATTATTATTATTATCATTATTATTATTATTATTATTATTATATTTTTATTATTATTATTATATTACTTTATTGTTATTATTATTATTATTATATTATTATTATTATTATTATTATTATTATCATTATCATCATTATTATTATTATTGTTATTATTATTATTATATTATTATTATTATTATTATTATCACCATTATCATTACCATTATTACCTCTACCAAAGAGGTTATGTTTTTGAAACCATTGGTTGAGTGTTTTTTGTTTGTTTTTGTTTGTTAGTTCAATGGATGTATAACTTAAAAACCTGTGAACAGAGTCTTATGAAATTTTAATCTGAGGTGTGTCTTAGCCTAACTTAGATGCCATTAAATTTTGGATAATGATCTGTATCCAGGATTTTTTTGAATGATTGCATCAGTCTCCCATATTTCCTTGGCAATAGGAGTAACTATCATTATTACCATTTCCTTTATTATCTCTGCCAAGGAGGTTATGTTTTTGGATGTCACCAGTGTATTTGAGAAAGACGTGATTTTATTGGATCAGTGGCCCTAGCGGAGATGTACACCATCATTGTTGTTATAAATGATTATTATTATTATTAGCAGTAGTACTAGTAGAATTAGTATTGTTAATATTAATGACATTTATTATGATAATGATATTATTATTATTATTATTTTTATTGTTATTATTATTATTATTATTATTATTATTATTATTATTATTATTATGCGTAGTAGTAGTAGTAGAAGTATCATTATTATTGTTATTTTCTCTGTCAAGGAATTTTTTTTGGGTAGTGTTGGTTAGTTTGTTAGTTGGTTGGTTTGCAGGATAACTCAAAAAGTTATCAATAGATTTTTATGAAATATTTACCAGAAGTGTGTCTCAGCCAAATTATTGTTTTAAATTATTATTATTATTATTAGCAGTAGTATTAGTAGAATTAGTATTGTTAATATTAATGACATTTATTATGATAATGATATTATTATTATTATTATTATTATTATTATTGTTGTTATTGTTATTATTATTATTATTATTATTATTATTATATTATATTATTATTATTATTATTATTATTATGAGTAGTAGTAGTAGAAGTATCATTATTATTGTTATTTTTCTCTGTCAAGGACATTTTTTTTTTGGGTAGTGTTGGTTAGTTTGTTAGTTGGTTGGTTTGCAGGATAACTCAAAAAGTTATCTATAGATTTTTATGAAATATTTACCAGAAGTGTGTCTTA